GCCCGTAGGGTCCTTTATCTGAACAAAGAACTGGTTTTTACGATTCATGCGTTTAAGCATACATATATAAGTCATCAAGATTCGGGATGAGGAGCGAATTTCTTCTGTGCGAAAATGAAAGAGAATCAAAATTGAGATTCTAAAGTCTAAATCACCCCTCTCTGTAAAGATCACAACAAGATCAAATAAATCAAAGTTCAAATTAAATCAAACCATAACTAGAAAAAATAAAAATAAAAATAAAAATGATAAAAATATTACTGTACCTGGAGATCAACACCTTCATGGCCATAACTCCAAGGAGCATCAGCTTTGATGACGACAAATGAGACATGAATAGTCTCGCCGGAGTAAACAACGTTGTGTGACAAACATTCTTCGTTTTTTATCTCGAATCTTATCCAAATCTCAACTGCATCATCATCAACATTATTAGGATCATCGACATCGTCGTTTTTATCGGCTTTGTCGAGGACGGCCCGAATCTCATATCTGCATGAACCATTTCTAATTCAAACACAAACACGGGAATAAATCAGATTAAAAAAAGAAAAGGCAATGCATGCATTCACGTAAAGAGTAAGAGGTGAATTGAGATTTCAAGGCAACTATGTGTTTTTTCAGAACATATAGTTGAGATTTCAAGGCAGTGATTCACTTAAAAATAGTTAGTGATGGTGAATTGTATCAGTAAATTACACTAGACTCCCTTAAATAAAGTAAGGATTTTATTTGCCACCTTTCTCTATTTTGTTTTTATTGCACTTCAGTCCTTTAATCACTTGTCATTCATTTATTTGGAATCATCTACATAAGTTCGGAGAAAGTTTGAGCATTATTGAACATCGAGTTAATCTCAAGCATGCTTATAGTTTTCTCGAGCAGAGTCCAAGAACATTTTACATGGCTCATCGAGTTTGAGCTCCAACAGTTCGGCAAAAAAAAAAAAACGATCTTTATGAATAAACTCCATACTAATAATTTGTAGAACACATGAGGCTTGACCATCTTTAAAAATAAAACTAACATGAATACCAATAAAACAAAGAAATTAAACCGATCTATTCTCAAAGACACCTCCATTGACATGTTGGAGGATTACAAATCAAAAGCCACGTACAGTACTTGTATACATAAAATTCACAATAAGGTTCAGTAGAAGAATTAACCAAGAAAAATATCATTATCTTGTTAATCTCTAAGCACTAAGCATTCACTTGAGATATTCGAATCATTCTTTAAGTTCCTCAAAAAAATGTGAGCCTCGATTCTTCAACTTCCATCCACTTGTCCTTGAGAAGCTAGATGTGCCATATATTGCTGCCAAAAGTAAAACCAAAGATGTCAGATCAACGATAAACTCTTATAAAAAATATCAGCTTTCATTCCCAATTAAATTTCCCTGATTGTGAAGGCAGTCGAATATAAACCACTATCGTATGAAATAGAACAGCCTGAATTTTCAAGAATCGCCAAAACATGTTACCAAAAAGTAATTATATCATCTTAGTTTGTGTTGCATAAGCCACAATGGTATTCATAATCTTGAATCGTTAATCATTTTTTGCTAGTTAAAAATTGAGGTATTAAGCTGGTGCTTTTTACACTTCCTCTAGAGAATGCATTTGAAGAAAAACATCTTTTAATCTTCACACCGCACCAAGGTATCATGTCCAAACTATAGCCAAAGAACAATAAAATCTTGTTAACTTACTGCATGATAGGCGTATGGTGATTTTCCTTGACGCTCAAAATGTTTGGCCAAGATGCTCCATTCAATTGGCCCCCAGTCTTCCACTTCAAAGCAATTGCCAAGTGCAGCTTTATATAGCTACCAAATATATTAAAATCACAATTAGCCAAATTTCAAGCTATGTAAAAGAGCTTTAGTTGTTCAAGGCATATCGCACAGTGTGCACAGCACTAAAAATCAGTTCACTTCAAATAGAACGAAATATAATATTTTATCTGTATACAAGCACATTATCCATTTAAAAAAAGGGGAAAAAAAAAAGTGAAACTTCGCAGCAGTTGCATCTTAGAGATGAATTTGTCGGCTGAATAATATCATCTCACCTAAGACGCCGAATAACCATCTAATTGAAGACCATGTCTACCGAATGTGGCCAAACTTTCATGTAACTCAATAACAAATTCAAAATCAGCTGCCAACAGGTAAGTTTAATCCAATTTAACAAGCAAGCAAAAACTCAAAAGGCCTCAAGAGGGTTAGGCAACATCAAAAACCTACAGCCGATAAACTTTTCTTTTAGTTGGTTTTCGGCTAAGCCATTTATAATTACCTTAAAACAAGTTGGGAAGTAATTTAAGTCAAATTTGTTTCTTTTTCTTTCTCACCACGTAGTACACATACCTTTGCTTGGTCAGCAAGAACTTCAGTTCCAGCAGGAAGAGATGCATAGAACTGGTCAGCTCTTGAATATCCAGCTCTATTCCTGTATAGAATTAAAATAAAGTTCAGAAAATTGATACTATATATATATATATATATATATATATATTTTCATCAACTTCACACGAAGATATATATATATATATATTTTCATCAACTTCACACGAAGTCTCTCCTTTCCAGTTTGGGGTAACGAAAATAAAAAAATCATTCAACTATCAAACTAAGCCACACTGAAAAGCAAACAATAAGTTCCGGCACAAGCAAGTGATACAGATTGAAGGAATAGAACAAAGTTCCACTTGGGCCTATTTTTTTGTTTTCCACACAAGATTATCGACAATTATTCGGGTTATTCAATTAGGAAACAAAACAACATTTCGTAGACTACAAGTACGCAGGATTTGGAAAATGAAGCGATTAATCAATCAAGATATGAATCTAACCTGAACACCTGCTAAAAAATAAATGAACTTTTCATCAGAAAATCAATCACTTCTTCCTGATACAATAATGGCCTTCAAAACTTACGTATTGTTAGTGAAGACATAGCTGATGAGCGCAGTAAAACAGAAGAACCCTGTATAAGACACCAGTCTCCGAAACTTCTGAATCTTTAGAATCTCAAGCCAACCATCATAAATCCGCCACATTTTCGATGAACAAAGCAGAAATACAGGACTCACGCAGGCATTCCTGAGACAGACACATATGCAATCCGTTCAAGAATTTCATCGAACATGTAATACGCATTGTGTTTAAAAATAGATAACAAGAAGAAGTTTTTCAGCTCGCAATCAATTTCTGGGCCGTGTCGAAAAAAAAAAATTACAAAATTCAGCAGCTCTGAATTTAAAAGTGTTAACCTTCACCTGCCGGGGCAAATTCCTCCCGCCAAATCGACGGCCAAGTTCACTGTGTACTCTCGCTCGTGCTGTCGGTGACAACTCCAAATTGGGCTTTATATTGTCATTTAGTCTCTGTTTATTTTGGACAATTGACAATTTGTGGTATAAGAAATGGTTCGGCCCAACTATAGTCCAATGAGCCAAGAGGGAAGAGCGTGGTACTCTTTTTGAATAATTAGAGCCCAAATGTGCATTGTATAAATGTTTGGGTATAAAAGCTTTTGGATTTTTTGGTTTGGTTTGATTAATTTTGAAAAATGTGGTATGGTTAGTGGTTAGTGGGTATATATAAAATAATTAAAGTTGATTTGATGTAAAAGTATGAGAGAAATGATTTGAAGTGATGGTTAGTTAAAATTATGTAAGTTGATGAATAGTGAATTAAGGTTGATGTGATGTGTAAGAATGATTGGTTGATATTATTTAATTATATTAATAATATTAATGATAGTTGGGTTGAGATAAAGTTTAGTTAAAAAAAAAGTGGTTGAATTAAAAATGTTTGGATATTTTTGATAAGTTTTGTATCCAAGCATCCAATCTATATTGAAAGAGTTGACATAAGTGACTAATGGCCTACGTATTTTAATTCAATTAATGACTACAGATTAATTAAAGTAATAGTTAAGGGTAATTTTTTAAATTATACATAAGAAATTTCTTAGTGGAGTGTGGAGCAAAAAGATTGAGCTACATAAAATCGTAAAGATGTTTTTATAGATAAACACATACTGAAATTCATTATAAGAATCATTATAAGAATCAGAGGACAATCGAGCAGCTATAAACTAAGATTTTTAGTTCAAGTGACGAGCCTTTTAAGGTAAGGCCAGGTTAAGGGCAAGGAAAGCGATAACATGAAAGCGGAGAGAGATTGTTCCCAGCATGGATTCTTTGGCAGCACCTCGAGCTAGCCTAAGAGCTAGGGGGCTGACTTTGTTTTCTTTCCTACGCAAGGTTCTGTCTTGGGTAGTCTTGGGTAGTTCGAGTATTAGGAGTGCTCATCAAACATGTGTTAAGATATGATATTGTGGTCTAATAGTCATATACTCAATATGCATTGCTATGTCATGTTAGCATAATCGGAAAACCAACTTCATGAGTTTTACCAACCTACGTGGGTTCCTACTCAATGTCTAGTTTCATATTTCTTAACTTATGTTCATATCAATCGTGACGAATGAGCCAATACAAGTTTAAATTTGATTCTTTTGATAACGAATAGAACTTGAGTATTAACAAGTTGAGCTATATAAAATATAATATACATATATATAGGGGGCGGATCAAATGGGGACAACTCTTAAAGTGGGACCAGCTCTTAGCAACTACAGACAACTAACCTAACAAGTACAGAGAACTAACCTAGCAATTACAGACAACTAACCTAGCTACTACTAACCTAACAACTACAGAGAACTAACCTGGCAGCAAGAAAGAAATAACCTAACAACAAAAGGCAACTAACCTAGCAGCATCAGACAACTAACCTAACAGCAAGAAAGAACTAACCTAGCAACAAAAGACAAATAACCTAGCAACTTAAGACAACTAACCTAGCAACAAAACTCAACTAACCTAGCAGCTACAAATAACCTACCAACAAAAGACAACTAACCTAGCAGCAAGAAAGAAATAACCTAACAACAAAAGACAACTAACCTAGCAGCATCAGACAACTAACCTAGCAGCAAGAAATAACTAACCTAGCAACAAAAGACAGGAAATGCTCTCACCTCTCTCTACCTTTCTCTCTCTAGGTTTTCCCCTTTCCCCTTTCACCCACAACCACCACACACCGTCTCTCTCAGCCACTACCCCCGACTAGCCGCCCTCACCGGCCGCCGTCGCCGGCGGCCCCCCGGCCCCCGACCTGCGGGGACATTTTTCTTTTATTATCTTGTTCATTTTATTTGCTTTCTAATCCTCTACTCTCAGTCCTTGGCCAACCATGGGCCCTCCGTCCACTTCTCCGGTCGTCAGTCAAGCCCCACCCTCCATTAAAGCTTCGGAGTTGGAGCTTTTCCTTTCACAACCGGCAGTTCTAGAAGCCTTCTCTGCCTTTCTCACAAATAGTAAACCAAAAATACGAATGGAGAGAGTAAAGATGCGGAAGAAGGAGAAATTATCGAAGACCTTGAGCATAATCGAGTTAAGGCCTCGTCGCCGAAGCCAGCCCTCGATTCACAGCAACAAGGCCAAGGAAAAAATCGGAAAAATTTAAAGACCTCAACGATCCTTTGGTTCATGGCGTCCATCATGTTTTGTTGTGAGTTGTGGAACGACCTTTCGAGATGTGTGAGGTTGTTCGTCATGGACGTGTTGGTGGCTTCCAATCCTTCGCTTAAGCTCGTCAACTTCGCTTCCAAATCCACAAGCTTTTCCTTAGTTTCTTTGGCCATTTTTTTTTCTTTTTTTTTATGACTTCGAAAATTAAATTAAAGAGATGGAACGAAAGAACACGCTATTCATACTCTCAATGAAAGCACCAATTATGAATAATCGCGTGTCCCGACTCGTGACTTGCCTCAGACTTGGCGTGAGCTTTGATCCTTGGACGTTGGTGCGGATGACTTAGAGGTTAAACTCCTTATCTTCTCGCGAGAGATGAGACAGCTCGAATGTTTGTCCTTGGCAAACTCGTCTTGCTCGAACAATGCGATGGACGTCCTTTTCGTAACAAGGATTTTGTGCTAAATATCAAGAGAAATCTAACACAAGAATTTGAACAAGTTCGGTTTTCTTCTTATTAATAATTCGAGATTAAAAGGTCCTAATAACATGAGTATTTATAGATATCAACTAGATCTAATCCTATTCCAAATAGACTTCTAATTCTACGGAAAGTAAATCACGAGAATCCTAAATTAACCAAAATAATGCATACTTAAACAATCTAGGAATTATAAAGCATCTAGGAGAATCACTAGTCTTGATCGCCAAGTAACCTAGTCGGCGGTCCCGCGCGCGTGCTCCTCCTTCACGCGGTTTCATCGTGTCTGTCCCTGCATGTGTTTGCGTGCCCGCACGCTCTAGTCACGCCTAGGTTTTTCCTACGCTCAACTCCCTTGCGCGCGTCGTCTCGTGTGCCCTCATGTGCACACCTACGCATAGACTACTACTGCTGATACTCGATTCGAACGTCAAAACCTACGAGTTGGTCTTACAACAATGCCCATCCAGTAGGATTAATCCACCCCGCCCGACGAAGACCTACGAATTGGTCTTACAGAGCGGGGATCACCAGTCGTGGCCTACGCCCCGGTCTTACGGCCATACATAACATAGTATAAAGAAGACTACCTATCGGGTACGTTCTATAGCTACGGGGATAACCGTTCGACGGCCGGTACAGCTCACATCGAAGGCTACATGGTTCACATGCATACATTGATCATACCACAAATTATACATTTATAACATTTACAGCATAGCAAAATTTTAGAATAACAAACCCACCAGATACTGCAAAGGATGATGGTGAATGCACAACAATATCAAAAACGTAAGTCGAGGGCTCGACTCCTAACACACCTACATATTAGGATTTAATTATTATTAAGGGTTTTAATTGGGTTGATTAGGCCACACAGTAAAGTACACTTCAACTACTAAACCGCATCAAAAGGCTCAACGCCGAACATAATCAATCAAAGCCCAAAACAATAAGTCGAACTTATAATACACATAAGTTAAACACATAAACATTAAATTAAAGCATACGAAACACATGACATAGTCTTCTCTTTTCTCTATTTTAATTAAACTCAAACAAGCCAATTGAAACTTTAGATATTTAAATTACCACATCATAATTTCAAAGAGGCATAACTTTGACTGAAAGGAGTATAAATAACTATAATTTCACATAAATCCTGCAAGTAGTAAAATGGTTTCAACTGACACATAAGTTCTCACGTTGGAATAGAAAAACATGGAAATTCTTAAAGCAATAATTCCAATGCATTTATCAACAGCACACTACGTATCTAACCAACACGCAATGATTCATTTCATATGACTACAGAGTTCCTAAAATAATTTAAGCTTTGATACTCAAGCATAGACTCAGCCATATCAACATAATAACATGTCGCAGCAACTCATCTCATAAGGCCACAATTTGAATAATCTTAATTCTCCTTTATTTCTTCCAAATTAAACCTGCTAAATTTCTAACATTTTAAAATTCGTTTAAGTTCATAGATTCAAGGCAACAGTAGTAATTTTTTTTTTTAAAAGCACGTAATATAGCAAATAAAAAAAAATAAAATAAAATAAAAATACACACAAATACAGCATAAAATTCACTTAAGAGCTCAGCACCCACATAAATCAAAACGCCGAAACAAACATATAAACTATCTCACTTTCTTCCTACTTTTCGTCGATCACATCACATGCTTAGGCCAAATAAACTGATTTTATAGGCATCTAACAAAAAGAACACTCCATATCCAGTATAATTACCTCATGATGCTCAGTATATCAATCACATAACAAGTCCGTCAAAAGCACATAAAACCATACCCATTTCTTCTTCATTTCATCTAAGTTAAAGCATGCTTTTTTTTTTCATCAATTAAAAACTAAATTTCAACTCATAATTCTTGGCCATTTTAGGGGTAGCAAAAGCTCAGTCATATACCTGNAGCTCGGTCTCGGTTACGAGTCTTCCACGGTGCACGGGGTCGGGCTAGCTGCTGCTTGTTTGTTTAAGGCGAGTTGCTCGAACGGGGGAAAGAATTTCTGCTACTTGCTCGCCTTGAAGGGTGGCCCGCTGAAGTCTCGCCTCAGCTCATGGCCTTGTGTACCTCGTCGGGAAAAACAGACGGATCTCAGTCTTTGCCGGAAGGATGGGCCGAACAGAGCTCGGTCGTCGAGAGCTCGAAATCGGTGAACAATGGTCGGGACTCGCGAATCCGGTTCTCCTGGTTCGTCTTTGATGATGTCAGATCGCGAAAGAAGATCTCCCAGTGAAACTGGAGACCCGTCCACTCGCGGTGGACGTAGGCGGTTGAAGGGTGGACGTCGGCGGGTGCTCCCGACCAGATCTCGGTGACTGATGGCTTACACGCGATGGATTTTGGCTAACCGCGCGCTCGCTCGCAGTGGCTGACGTTGCTGGTTGGAGAACGCCGACGAAGGGCTCGACAGTTCACGATGGTCGCGATGGATAACGGGCGTCGCGGATTCCGGCCTATTAGTGCTCGCGACGGCGGTGTTGACGCTCCACGGCTAGATTAAGGTCGACTGGAGAGATGAGAGCTGATGGGGAGATGCATAATCTGGGAAAAAGAAATTCGAAGCGAGCAGGGCTAAGAAAAATGTGTTGCGGCGTCTGATATTGGAGAACTTAAAACGAAGAGTTAGGGCTGCTAAAATGGGTCTCTTGGCTTAACAAAAACACTGCTTGGGCCTGATTTTTGTGCCGAAACATTCAGCATAAAATGCCAGTTTTCTTTGGGGTAAAATGGGCCAAAACTCTTTAAGCTAATTGGACCGGAAATGATATAGCAAGATGGCCAAAATAATTCCCAAAAATTGGCCCGAGAATTTAAAAATAAGAATGAGCCGTGTCCAAGGTTCGGGGAAATATCATGAACAGTTCGAAATCGAATCATTTAAATTCGGTTTACGCGATTAAATTGAAAATCGTCGAAATAAATTTAAAATTTTTATCAAATAAATCCTAATATTATAACACATATTAATGACATATTGTTGATGACCGACTTAATTTCTTATGATTAAATTAAAAACAGATCGTCTTATTTTATTAATAACCCTTTGGAGTTGTCGTTTAACAGCCAAACTCAGATCAAGTCGGTAGAGCTGAACAACTACCGACTTCTGGACGGCTTGAAAGAACCGACTAACCATTAACGTCTCAAAACCGACTTCACCGACTTCCCAGACATTTACATTGAAGATTATCCATTTATCCATGATCCGAGAAGATCAAATTTCCAAGCAGAAGGTGTTGTAAGCTTTCAATTGGACCATCAAGTCAAAGAATAATAATTGATGTTCCCTCGTTACATTACACGCCGCTTTATTGAAGCAACTCAACGTTAAATGCGATCTAATCTACCTCGGACAAAAAGACAAACCAAACCGTACCATAAATAAAAGAATTTATAACTGTACGGGGATCTTTTTTCGCACATTGTACACGGACTTAAAAAACATCTTGGTTACAATTAGAAAACCGACTTCCTGTACTCTTGTAAAACGATCAATAATACACAAACTTATATTTATTTCCTTTTAAATACACCTTGTTGTTTGTTTATTTGAGTTGTTAATTTCATACAACAACAGTTTGGCGCTAGAGGAAGGGGAGCCGCTTCATAGGGAATTTGAGATTAACCTTCACGTTATTATACACAAAAAACAATACGTGATTGCCAGATAATTTCAAACAGCAATCAACATGACGAGTTCTGGGCGTCAAGAAAGAAATCCAGACGCTGGAACCAGTCGTAATCCGTTCCCACAACTGAAGATACGACTGTACCATCTATGACGATAGACTATTCTGCTCTGTTTCAAGATCCAGAGTTTCTCAGAAATCTATCCAATTTCATGGCACAAACAAGAGCGGGACCAACTATAACTGTTCCTAGTCAAACTCCTGCTCCAAATCCTTTAATAAGGCAGCAGATGCCGCCTGTTCAGCAACTGAACAACAACCTTGTCGCGTCTCATGCAACTTCACAACCACGAACACCTGGGCCGCAACAAAATATAGCTACTCATAGTCGTGGTGAAATCCCTTTCAATAATCATCCACCAGAAGGGATTCAACCTGAAATTACTGCTGAAAGTCATTCACGACGTCGTCGACAACAGCCGGTGCCTTCGTCACCGACGACTTCGTAACTTGTTCGACAATCCGACTTGCATCATACCATCGAATGAAATCGGTTCAGACGTGATAATGATGAATTGCGTCTTACTGTTGAAAGAAACTGTTTAAGACGTGAGTCGGAAGAGTTGGAAATATTAAGGAAAAGAATCGCTGAATTAGAAACTCGGCAAGGCGATCTAGAAGAGTCTCAATGCAGGGCTCCCATCTCGGGTAATGTTTACCTAGAAGCAGAAACTCCATTGGCTCCTCACTTAACAATGGAACCATTGTCTGGAAAAATTAAGGTCCCTCAGATCAGTCTTTATGATGGCACCTTGGATTCTGATGCACATCTCGGTCAATACACCTCATGGATGGACCTTCACGGGGCAACCGACAGGCTTAGATGTCGGATGTTTTCCTTAACTCTGGGACCTCGGGCTCAAAAGTGGTATCACTCTTTACCTCGTTGTTCAATTTCGAAATGGCAACAATTGAGAACGGTTTTCCGATCTCATTTTATCGGGGCCCGAGTATCTTTAATCCCAAAGAAATCAATCGCCAATATTGTGCAAAAGGATAATGAGAGTGTTTAAGATTATATTACTCAGTTTAATGAACGAGTACAAAATGTGGAGCAGTGCCATCCAGAAACATTGCTGATCACGGCGATAGCAGGATTGAAGCCAAATTCCCTGTTCCGCTGGAGCATTTATCAGAATAAACCGACTTCATTTCAAGAGTTTCTAGCTCGAGCTCAACAACATATCATTTCTGAAGAATCAATGTCGGTTCCCACTCTCGACTTTTCTTCTAATAAGTCGGAATTAGAGCAAGAATCGAAAAAGAAGAAAAATAAGTCATTTAGACCAAATAAATCTCGGTTCGGGAACTCCAAAAATCCCGAGGTGAAGGAAGCGCCAGAACTAAATATCTCAATGAAGTCAAATCGAGTTATCAAACGGTATTTTTAGCTGGAGCCGCAACCATATTTGAAGAACTAAAAGAGAAAGGGATTCTTCCCGATCTCCGACCTGTAAGGACTCCAGAGGATAAACTTAACAAGACAAAATATTGTTCATATCACAAGTCCGCCATACATGATACCGACAAGTGTCTGGGCTTACTCTCTGCTTCGCTAAGGCTTATTGGACATCCACAAGTCCAAAGATTCGCCAAGAATGCTGATTATAAACAAAAAGGCAGATTGTTGGAACCCCCAGATGATGATGAGGATGATGATCGCCCGGTCAATCCAAAACGCATTAGACAAGGTGACAAGGAAGTGTTTATGCTAAACCTGGAGGAGAATGATCCTTCATCTTCGGTAAAAACTGAAATATTAAAACGAAGTGGTTATTCTAATACTCCCGGTTTTCATAATCTCCCACAAGTTAACAACAGTACCGACAAAATATCTGAATCACGTTGGCAAATGAAGGCGTATGCTCGACAAGCTTATAATGCGGGCAAACACATCCTAACAACCGACCTCCGAGATAAGATCAATGCTTGGAACAATTGTCCAATCACTTTTAATGTGGATGATGCAAGCTATTTCGCTCACCCACACTCTGATCCACTTGTGATCACAACGCCAATCTGCGAAAAACCTGTACATCGAATAATGGTTGATACAGGTGCATATTCAAGTATTTTAATGCTCCGCACGTTCGAACAAATGGGGATTGATCCGCTGAGCTAAAACCTTGCAAAGATCAAGTATAAGGCTTCAACGGAACAATCACGCCAACTCTTGGTGAAATAACTATGCCAATTCGATTTGGGATTCCTGGGCAAGCCTCCAAGGTTATTATGGAGACATTCAAAGTGATGGATCTCAAGAATGAATACAATGCCATCGTGGGGAGAACGGCCCTGTACAAACTTCGCGCAGCTGTCTCAATTTTTCATTACGCTTTGAAATTTCCCATGAACAACGGAGAAGGAACCCATTATGGTGATCAATATGAAGCCCGCAGAATGGTATGGGTTAAACCTTGGCATGAACTGCCTTCCCTGATACAAATGGCAGAAGAAGTTCAGAAAGAACGAAAAAAACCATCACCTTCTACAAACTCGGTACGTGACAATACCGAGATGGAAATAGAACCATCCGAGATGTCGGCGAACTCGAAAGAAGGATTTCATCGTGATCTAACTCAAGACCGTGGAAGACTTCCAGTGAAAGAACCAATTAATGAAGAATACGAACTTGATCCTCGAACTTAATTCAAAGAGAAAAATAAAGTCGACCGAGCTGAACCATCTGAAAAAATTGAAACAATTTTCGTTGATGATCCTATTTGTGACAAGCCACTTCGGATTGGGGCCAATCTTCGGGAACCAATACGAACTCAACTTATTCAATTTCTCCAAGCAAACCCAGATGTATTTACCTGGAAACATGAGGATATGAAAGGTATCGACCCTAATGTGGCTTCACACCGACTTAATTTGGACCCTACGATAAAGCCAGTGGTTCAGAAAAGACGCAAACTCGGTCCTGACCGACAAAAGGCTCTTGAAGAAGAAGTCAAGAAGCTAATTGACAACAAATTCATTCAAGAAACCAAATACCCGACTTGGGTATCACAAGTTCCAACCCACAACGACCAATTCACGAGTTGACGAGGTCTCGTTCGATTTCACTGAATCGAAGAGTTCGTCTACACATTCAACATATTTTTCCAAACCAACTTCAACACACATTTTACATAAATAACCTTATGAACAAAAATCACATAGGCATATTCACATGATTTCAATAATCACTTTCAACAATCAAGAACACAACATAAACGAGACGTAAAATTAAACAAGACGGGTCGAGCCTTGTACCGTTCTCGGGTATCGAAAAAAAACGGAACGAGGGGTCGATGGGAAGCACGGGCTCGTTTGAGTGCGGCCTTCTCGTCGGGTGAACGGCTCGTCCGCTGCGCGTGGGCTCGCCGGCAGAACGTGCACGTCGCTGTCGGCTCAAGGTGAGGTGTTGCAGATGTTCGGCGGAGGAGCAGCGTCGGAGGAGGGCTCATCGGCTGCTACACGAACGGGTAAGTCACCGGAGAGAGGGGGTTCGCCGGGTTGCTGCGCGGAGTTGGGAGTGACAGGTTCTCGCCGGCGGGAGGCTCGCGACAATCGAGGATGGTGACTGAGGGTGACGGAATGAATATGGTGATGAGGTAATCGCGTGTTGAAGAAGAAGGTGAGGGGCGATGATGGTGACAGACGATGATGAGGGAAGGATTAACGATGATCAGATTAGCGAAAGATTTACGCGAGAGAGAACTCTCTGCTCTTGATCGCGACCGAGAAGGAGAAAATAAGTTGAGGCTGCGGTTCTCTTTTCTGTTGGGACGAGAATAGATACAAAAGGCACATATATATACATAATATTATTAGGTTTGATTTTCTTGATTTACAAGAAAAATCACACGTTACACACACACGTGCACATTGGAGCGGGCCGGTACAAATTTGTCGGGCTCGCGGGTCGGGGCTGGTTCAACGAAGCGAATCGGCTCTCGGGCCCGACTAGACGAAAATTAAATCGGTTCGGCTCGAGAATTTAAATCGCACGATAAAATAAATATCCAGACATAATATATATTTATAATACACACAATTAAAATTTTAAAATAATGATAATATTAGTAAAAATACAAATACACATTTAATTAAATACTAACACTTAGACAATTAGGCAATTAAATCATATTAGACATTTAATTATTTTAGCATTCCACAAATAATAAGAACAACAAATAAATAATAATAATAATAATAATAATAATAATAATAATTCTCAAAATACCATAATTCAAATGGGGCATTACATCATAGGTCTGCTAAACCGGTGCCGAATCCCATTGCTGCTCGGAATGGTACAAATAAGATTGGTCGTAGTGCCCAGAAATGTAGCTTGGCCCGTTATTCCAGTAAAGAGTGTGCGGGGAGGAGAAAACGTTGTCCTACTTGTCCTACTTGTCGCAAAGAGAAAAACAATGACGCAAAAGAAAGAACAGAAACACGAAAACCACAAAATAAAGAGAAGCACAGAAAATAAAATCAACAAAAAAACTAAATGTCCTACTTGTCTTCCCCGGCAATAGCGCCAAATTTGTTGCAGCAAATTATATTTTTACCGAGTACGATACGACTCCCGACATCGGGTCGATCTCTCGAAAAAGGCAGTTCGAAATCTAGATTCGATGACGCCACACACAAAAGAAAAATAAGTCATAAACACTCTAATCACGGTTGATATGGAGAATTAACTAAAACTAACTAGAACTAGAAAAGCAAATAAAAGAAATAACAATCAAATTGCTAGTTCTTAGAACTTCTAGAGGGTCGAGAAATTTCATCAAGTACTAAACTATGTTGAACCCTTATTAGTTTGGTTATGTGATTCAACAAGTCTACACGTCTAGAGGTTTATGCTCAATAACTTTCGTAACAAGAGCACACACATAGAAGACAAACTCATTCTATCAAGCAACACATAGACAATACTTTTACGAACAAGTCTACTCTATACGAGCCTAGATCGATCAAATCCTCCCCTTTCGGTTCTAAGAGTTAACTAATTTAGACTAGACGGTGGTTAATCGACTATTCTATTGGAATTAACATCGTCAAGCCCGAATGGAATCATATCCAATTGCAAAACAATTACAAATTGAAGTGTCACTCTTCAACAACATTTAACATTCAAGAATGAGACTCGGAAACCTCTTTGTAAAGCAACTCACATGGATTGAACAAAACACATTCCACATAGTTCAAAACAAGAATAAAAATCCCTAACCCTAGGTGAATGGTGTTGTAGATTGTTTTCTTTTTACCGAGTACCGAATCGAATGATTCGTTCCCCTGGTCGATCTCCCGAGGAAGGCAATTCGGAATTTAGGATAAGTTTTGATAGCACAAAAAAGAAAAATAAATTCTAAACTTTCTAATCATGATAGGGTTGGAAAACTATCAACTAAGAATTAGCGTAATCTAATAATCTACTTAAAAATATAAACGACAAAAAGGTAAAGAAGCTAGGGAATCGGGGATGATTAATTCAAGTTCGAAACGTGAAGCCGGGCAATTAATCGTTCGGTTCAAGATTGATACTCTTGCTTAAACATCTAGCAGTTCGCTCCCAATAACTCTTCGTAACATGAGATTGAACATAGACGAGCAAGTTCGAGCATACAACACCGGCCAATAATCCAATCCCAATAACTCTTCGTAACATGGGAAGGAGCATCGACAAGAGTATACTTCAATCTGGAACCTATAGACAATACGTCTCTGAACATGTCTACCTCGTACGAGCCTAGTTCTACGACTTCTCCTCTATCGGTTTTGAAAGTCGCTAAATAAATTAGAAAAGATTTAATCAACTAATCATGTAGAATCAATAAATCCTAACTCAACAAATCAATATCCAATTGTTTCCAATCGCTAGACCGAAGTGTCACCCTTCGATTATATCAATCAATCAAGCATAAATTATTAATTCCTAATCAATTCAACTCGCACAAGAACGAACAAATTAAAGCCCAACAATCACGACAAAAACAATCATCCCCTATCCCTAGCAATTGGAATTAGCTACTTACAATAAATTCAACACAATCAATCATATCAATTAAAGCCATCATCATCATCATAAACACAATGAAAATAAGACCTTACTATTAATATGAAATTCAAATGTTAAATGCTAGTACATACCAAATCCATGAGCTAGAAGATAAAAGAATGTCCTTCTTCTACCTTACAAAGTCACACCAAGAACAAAATGAAAACTAAAAAAGAAAGAAGGGAAGGAGAGAGTGCTGCGGGGGAGAAAAGAAGAGAAGAAGAAGAAAAAGAAAAGAAGAAGAAGAAAAAGCGGAGAAGAGAGGGAGAAGAGACAAGGAAAGAAGAAAAAGGAAAAGAGAGGAGAGGAAGTAGAGAGGAGGAGCTGCTTGGGAGGTGAAAAAGGAAAAAGGACCGACCAAACGAGTGATGCGTGAGGGAGTGATGGACCGCGGGCGTGGAGCTCTTCACGGGCGTGGAGAGCATGTCTGGCGTGGCGTGGCGGATCCTTCGTGGCTTGAGGAGGGTCAGGTGGTGCAGCGTGGAGCCCTTCACAGCGTGGCGGAGCGAACTGGCTCTCTGAAGCGTCCTCGTGGCAGCCATCACGGCGCGGAGAGGGCGCGGAGGTCTGGGACTGTAGCTACCTTCCGTGCACAACTTCACCTCTCGGGCCCGTTTGAGCTCGTCTGGTATCGGAATTCAATTACGCTTTTTCCTGTGTGTTGCCAACAAGTCCTTCTACGCAACCATAATTGCTCGGTCAATTTTCGGGCCAAATCTATTCCTCACGGGGCTTCTGACCTGCACACCAAAAACAAGGAAAAACCGAAATAAAAAACACACGAAAAATACATAGAAAACCAAAATAAAGGAAAACGTGCAATAAACTACAAAACGAACTAAAAACCAACAAAAAGACCTAAAATGGGGGGAAAAGAACAACAAAAAATAAGGAAAAATATAACAAAAATGGAACAAACAACTCCCCCACACTTAAACCTTTGTTCGTCCCGAACAAAAAGAAAAGAAAAGAAAACAAACAAACGAGCAAGGACAACGGTTTCAAGCAGGACTAATCTCAAACCAATCAATCAAGTCGAGAAGAATTCCAATGATCACAAAAGCACACCTCAACTATTAACTTGATCATTTCGAAGAACAAAGACTCTCGAGTACGAAAATATATCATATGCCTCACTCAGTTTCTTTCGCAAATATAAAATAGGTGCGCTCGGGTTGGTTGTCAATCAAATCAATCATAAACTTGCCTATCATCTAACTTTTACTCTAAAACAATCAAATTAATGAAATAGTGAATCAAGAGGACTTTTCGGGATGTAACGTAGGCTCTTTGGATAGGGTAGGATAATATAGGCTAAGTGGCTCAATAATAATCAATTCAACTCAACTCCATCACCTAGCTGTGAACGTGAACTCCTCCGGTACTCAAATACCTACCGGTTCCTTCCAACTCCCGCCCAAAGCCAACACACTTCCCCGACAATTATTCCTACATACACATAATATATATTTTTTTCATTGAACCCTTTGGATATTTTAACTAATCCATCTGGTCCTTTTTTTTGTGAATAAAAACCTTAAGATATTCATATTCCCTTCGACTTCATTTCATTTTTATTTTTTTTATATATATAAATATATACAACTCAACACCAATCACCTCCAATTCTCCACCCGAAACTCCACAATATCATCGTCGCGAGGTTATAAAAGAAAGAAAATCAATAAGGCTCAAAGGGGAAGTCAAATAACGGAACTTAGCAATCTCATATCATGAACCAATACTAGTAGCTAGAACACAAGAACAGAAGACATAAAAGAAAAGACGCGAAACAACCTCACAAAGATGAAAAGAGAAAGGGTGTGCAAACCGAAGTCACCTCGAGGGCAATAAGCATTCACGTGCAAACCGCCTACCCACGATCAACCGGTCCTCGATACATCCTGCCCAGAAAAACCACAAAAAACTCCAAACAAAATGAAAACTAAAAAAGAAAGAAGGGAAGGAGAGAGTGCTGCGGGGGAGAAAAGAAGAGAAGAAGAAGAAAAAGAAAAGAAGAAGAAGAAAAAGCGGAGAAGAGAGGGAGAAGAGACAAGGGAAGAAGAAAAAAGAAAAGAGAGGAGAGGAAGTAGAGAGGAGGAGCTGCTTGGGAGGTGAAAAAGGAAAAAGGACCGACCAAAAATATTGAGGGAAGTGATGTTTTTGTGTCTGTAGTGAGTCCCTCTGTCAAATAGCTCCCTTCCCAATCAATTATTCTCAGCTTTTGACAGGAACAAGGACACCACACTGATAGGCCACGACGTGAGGTTCAGCACGGGCGTGAAGGCATGGAGCACCGCTGCGTGGGACTTCCTCCACGTCATGGAGGTCGTGGCTGGCGCGGCGTGGAAGGCTCATCACGGCGTGGTGGAGAGCATGGCCGCGGCGCGGCTTCCTGGCACGGCGTGAGGGAGTGCTGGACCGCGGGCGTGGAGCTCTTCGCGAGCGTAGAGGTCATGTCTGATGCGGTGTGGCGGATCCTTCGCGGCGTGAGGAGATCGGGTGGCGCAGCGTGGAGCCCTTCACGGCTTGGCGGAGCGAACTGGCTCTCTGAAGGGCCCTCGTTGCTGCCATCACGGCGCGGAGAGGGCGCGGAGGTTTGGGACTGTAGCTACCTTCCGTGCACGACTTCACCTCTCGGGCCCGTTTGAGCTCGTCTGGTATCGAAATTCAATTCTGCTTTTTTTGTGTGTTGCCAACGAGTCCTTCTACGCAACCATGATTGCTCGGTTAATTTTCGGGCCAAATATATTCCTCACGGGGCTTCTGACCTGCACACCAAAAACAAGGAAAAACCGAAATAAAAAACACACGAAAAATACATAGAAAACCAAAATAAAGGAAAACGTGCAATAAACTACAAAACGAACTAAAAACCAACAAAAAGACCTAAAATGGGGGAAACAGAACAACAAAACAATAAGAAAAAACGTAACAAAATTGGAACATACAAATGGAATACCTCATTCTGGGATTCAATTCTATGTTAATCAGATTGAAGAACATAAAGCCAATCGACAATAATATATTAGGATTGAAAACTTACAATCGAATTAAGACTTGGAAGATTTCGATCCCAATGTCTTTGTTTCCAACAATCCAAGCATGGGACAAAAAGAAAAACGGAGAAAATTATCCTAAAAAAGCTATACAAATTGATTCTTTGAGTGTCACCCCTCAAGATCGAATTCAAGATGAAAAATTAGAGAAAAAGGTGTTTCTAAAGTGAAAAATTGGAGAAAAACGAGTTTGGAGTCCCCCCATTCGATCTGGGAACGATTCCCCATCTCCCGTGCTAAAAAAATCGAGCAAAAACTGGTTTTGAAAATTCTGGTCGCAACCTCCGCGGCCGCTGAGAGCTCCAAGGTCACGAGTTTTCAGCTGCAAAAGCGTTCCACGGCCGCGGGAAACCTCCGCTACCCACAGTGAAGAACATTGGGCTGCTGCGTGCGGCTTTACGTTTCGGGCTCGTCCGAACTCGGAATTGAGTTCTGCTTTTTTCTACTTGTCGCCAACGAACCCCTCTATTCAATTATTCTTGTCCAACCAATATTTTCTTGAAATCCTATCCTTTCGAAGTTTCCGACCTGCAGACCAAAAACGAGAAGGAAAACGGCGAAAAGTGGGAAATGAACAAAAAACACAGAAAAACTCGAAATGAAGGAAAACACGCAACAAAACAAAGTAAAAACGAAAGAAAAGACCTAAAATGGGGGAAAAGAAAGGCAAAATAAAAACAAAAAGTACAACAAAAATGGGACAAACACTGGTAATGCTAGAACTTAAATGGAATCCTAAGATGGATCTATTTATAATATGATGATGGAGTTTTTTCAATACAAGTACTAAAAGATAGGTAAACTATCAAATCGGGGCTTAAAATATCGATTATACTTGATTAATTAAATATTTTTCACTAATATTTTTATACTGTTTATAGAAAAAGTCTGACCTTGACTGTTAAATGTGTAACGTCCCGGTGGGGTCCACTCTCTCTTGGGCTATCCCACCAGGCCGCTATCTCTACTCATGGCCTTCTGGGTTGCTCTCTCCCAGTTTTTACCCTCCTCAGGATTTGAACCTAGTACCCTGAGCATCCCATGAACTAGTGCCTTATGCTCAGGGTACTAGGTTCGAATCCTGGGGAGGGCAAAAACTGGGAGAGAGCAACCCAGAAGGCCATGAGTAGAGATAGCGGCCAGGTGGGACANACGAAGGACTCCTTTCCTTTTTTTTTTTCTATTATGGTAGGGCACATCGTGCCTCTCCACTAGCCTTGGAAAACTCGACAAGTCCTATAAGGTCGGTGAATTTCTCTTCTTTATATTGCTTTTTGAACTTCCTCCTGAATCAAGCGCACGTCTGCCACGAAATTACCAGAATTCCCATGAACTAGTACCTTATGCTCAGGGTACTGGGTTCGAATCCTGGGGTTGGAAAAAACTGGGAGAGAGCAACCCATAAGGCCATGAGGAGTAGCGGTGGGCCCAGGGCCAAGGCCACCCCACCGAATAGCGGCCCGGTGGGCCAGCCAGAGAGTGGACCCCACCGGGACGTTACAAAATGGAACCCTAAAATCAGAAGAAACTGGTGCCGCTGGAACTTAAATGGAAGCCTAAGATGGATCTATTTATAATATGATAATATATATGGCAGTTCGACAAATGAGTTGTTAGTTTATCATTTTAATATCGATTATATTTTATTAGCTAAATAATATTCACCTATATTTTTATAGTTTTTTATCTTGTTTAAAAGAACATTAAACATGTATGTTTAAAATATTAAAAACACCTAAATTGTTATATAACATATGTAAGATTATCTAAAATATTTAATATTATTCTTGAAAAAATGTGAGGTCACCTAAATTTTTTTAAATTATTTTATAAGTAAAATCTGTCTAAAAAAAAGTTTAACATACACACATATATACACAACATGTTTAAAATATACAAAATATTACATGTGAATAATATGTGTTAAAGCCTAAAAAAATATTAGTAATTATATCTACAAATATATGCATGAATAATACAAAACATTAAACATTACATCACGCTAATTTTATGAGAGAGATTACATATAGTAGATATAAAATATAAAAACATTAGTGATTAGACATTACTTCACACTAATACTTTCAAGCCGAACAATTTTTAATTGGATGTGTAAGAATTTTTTATATATTTTCAAGCCAAATAATTTTTAATTGGACAACTTTCCTATTATATGTGTGACAAATGTTTATGTAGTAAATTTATATATATAGATACAGATTTTGCATAACAAATTTATATTTTGTGTATACGAAAACAGAAAATTGATTTACTAGACAAAATTTTGAAAATTTTCTTTTTAAAAACAATTGACAAAAAGAATACCAATAAAAGGAATTTATGTATATCTCACAAAAAAAAATAAAAAAAAAATGTATATATCTCATAAAAAATTGTTCATTTTCAAAATCTGCTACATTGAAAAACATATCTAAATATTAATATAAATTTATATTTTTTGTATATAAATGTCAATCCAAATTGTTGGTTCTAATAAATATAATAAAATAAAAAAGAATCCTAAATGGAAATTCCAAAATTTCTCGCCATGTAAATTTAAAAATTACTATAAAATTATATTTTGGTTCATTTTCAAAATTTGTGAATGTAACATATATGCTAATCCAAATCAATGATTATAATAAATATGTTAAAAAAAAAAAGAATCCTCCATAAATGATAATTCCAAAACCGGCTACATATAATTATTTACATAATCTTTGCCAACAAAACCACTATCAACGTAATTAAAGGAAACCAAGAATTGACTAACAGACACAAACCGAAAGCCGAGTTATATGGAAACTATGCGATTAATGATTTATTTTTTTATTTAAATCAGATTATATTATTTCCATCTATAGTAGGTAATTAATGTTTTTGGCGAAAAATACTCATAAATGTTCGGGTCTGAAAAAATCATATGTTATTAAAAACCTAATTGTAAACAACATTATTATTTTGATTACTGGGCAACTCGTTGTTTCCACAAATTAATATTTTCAACCACTTCCTATTAGGAACACGCAAAATGGCAACATATAATCGATCGTGACTAAAAACATGTTATTTCAAGATTAGGCAAACTGTGAGATAAAGTCTGACACCCACTCTTGTTTATGGTCGTGACAATATAAATGAATGTTTATCTCAAAAATTTAGTCTTTGAAATGTGGTGATCGTGTGTTATTTTTTAATTTCGCGATTGATGGACTCTTTTATTGATTAGTTGGTTTGATTCAATATATAACAATTTTTGTTGCCAATCGTTATTAGAGTTTTCAAATTAATTTGTCTAATGCATAAATAAAAAGAGACCTAAACTATGAAATTTTTTTCATCTTTTGAAAGCAAATAAATGATAAACATTATCTTTTAAAATAAATAATGACAATGAGTATAACATTGTATTATCAAAACCCATAAGGTTTATAAATTTCGTTTTCCTTTTCAAACCGATAATGTAGAAAAAAATTCAATTGGTGAATAGA